ACCCATGTTTCATCCATGGTTATGAATCGACGCAAAAACTCGGCTTTGTTGCTGCGAAACATTGCCAAAGACTCGATTGAAACATCCTCACGACGCTGTTTTTGTCCCATTGTGTGCAAACGCGGCACCCATCTTGCGCACAGCTTTCTCATGTCCAAATTTTCAGTTAAAATGCGATGTACAGCACTTTTTGAAATGCCTACCATGTCTGCTAGCTCTCGCACTTTGAGTTGACTGTCATCCAATACCATTTTGTGGATTTTTTCCACCATTTCTGGCATGGTCACCTCACTTGGTCGACCACTACGATGTTCGTCTTGGCAGCTCGTACGGCCTCGTTTAAACTCTGCCACTCAATATTTTATTGTTGTAAACTAGGGAACAGACTCCCCCAGAGTAGAATCTACCTCAGCTTTAATATTGGTTGGACTGAAACCTTTCAAATGAAAGTATTGTATAAAAAAAAAATACTATACAACGTAACGTCTTCAAACTTCAAACTTAAGCTTTATAAAGTTGATGCTTTCGAACACAGTCGTTTTTTTTTTCAAATAAGTACTGCCATCTATGTCAGGTCGGGTACTTTTGGGACGACCCTCGTATCTGTAAAATAATAATGATCAAATAAAATATACAAACTTTTACTATATATTATCATATTGTAAATAATTTTATAAAAATTATATAGTGTTCGAATATAGAATGCACAGTACACTTCTTTTAAAAAGAGATTTTGAGAGAAAAATATATCAATATAAACTTTCGAAACGCTAAAATAAATACTCCGGATTTAAGAAGCACTCCACTTTTAAAAAGAGATTTTCAGCAAAATTACCTCAATAATAAATCTAAAATAAAGTATAACGAAGAGAAAATACTACAAAATTTTCATTACATAAAGAATTTTGAATACAGACAAGCGAACACGTTTTTTCAAATATATATTAATAAAAATACTCATAAAATGATAAAAATTATAGAATTTATTTACTACAAAAACATTTTTGCATTATAGTTAATAATTGCATTCAGTTTAATGCATTATAAATCATAGAGTATGAGGCAATAAATTTCAAAAAATATAAGAAAATTAGTTTTATTTTCTTATATTTTTTTTAATAATACAGATGTGCATTTATATTACCTTTTTACAAATTTGTAATTTAAATATTTATCTAATTTATTGGGAAAATTATTAATGGAGTTTGATATATTTTAGGTGTTATTATATAGTGCTTTCATTGTAGATTATGACTTCCTGTTCATGGTGAAATTAGCATCGCGTCACACTGACACAACTGAAATTACATCACTGGGCACTTTCCTATTTCGCCATCACAACTAATCCTAATTATTCTCAGATTAATTGAGAAAAGGATATAATAATTATTTAGACAATGTAAGTGAATGTGAATTTCCAATGTTTGATTCTTTAAAATAAGTATTTAATATACAGTGGATCTTCGATTTCACGTATTAGTTGGAGTGAAAAAATGTCCGCTATTGCCAAAAATTCATTAAATCGAATGTATTTTAAAAACATGTACAGTACAGTACAAGTTATTATTAATGTAAAAGGGGAAATTTATATTTATTGATTTATCATCCCAATTTTTTATAATGTTCATAAAATTTATAAATTTTTCTATCCGTTAAATCGAGGTTCTACTGTATTTAGAAAATTACTAGCTATTCAATAATTTGATATTTTTACTGACCTGTGGAGAATGGTGCGCTTAATTGATTCATTACATCACGACAATTGACAAGTTTGACTTATTCGGATCTTTATTTTCATGTCAGGGATTATCTTAGAAATTCTTGAATCAAGTTTTAATCCTTCTATAATTTTTATATATCCCTTGATACAGATATCAATCAACAAGATATTCTCTCGTTCTCTATTGGACCAATGATGTAACACATAAAATTTTTATCTTTTACGTTAAAATTCTGCATAATAAATTTAAATAATGAATATTGTATTATAAGTACATATACAAATAAAGAAGTTTTAAAATTATACTTATACAGTACTTTAATGGATCCGAGTTCGAGTTCGGGTGGGAATCTCAAATACTTTAAAGTTATTACAGAAATTGCTTTTAGCCCTAGGTATAATTAAATTAATAAAAATATCTATAACCATGAGGCAGATAATAGTAAGGGCTTATCACTCAATGATAATGGGCACAGATACTCAATAGACAATTGATTTCTGATATTTTAATTATTTTAATTTATTTATTTTATATTTTATTATATTAATATATTATTATATTAGATATATGAATTTATTATATTAGATATTTTAATAAATGTCCTGATATATCGGATTCTATCTTCTCCATTATGGGGCTAGCTTGTCATAACCAAATTTAAGTATTCTTAGTTATCTACGCAGAATAATGTAAAAATTTCTATGTAAAAAGTTATATATTTTATATATATTATCATTATTATTTTAATATTAGGCTTACTGCTGTTTGTAAAAGAGAATTTCAAGTTTTCTTTCGTCAGAAATGTATAACTAAAGATTAAATTCTAATTCTTGCATATTTAGTAAACGTTTGATTTAAATTATTTATTTATTTAATATTACTTGAAATTTAATCTAAAATATTCTTTATAGATAGAGCTTTCTCACAAGAAAATTAATAATAAATCAATAGTTTGTTGTGTAATTTATCACAAAATTAATTTATGAATTTATCACGGAACAGTATTTCATCCGAAATATGAATTAAAGATTGAATATTTCTCATTGAACCTTGAAAATTAATTATTCAGAAAGTAAAAATTTGGATTTAATTCTCTTAAATTAATCACACTTTTTATTATAAATACTGTATTACATTCTATCCTTTTTTTAAATGGCAATTTCTTGAATAAACATGCAAGGAATGTGATCCTGTAAGGCATGTTGTTTATGCAAATCTAACACAAAAATGTAACTTAATAAAGTGGTTTAAAACTCGATTTTTAGAAGAAATTACAAATGTTTCTTTAATATATTTTTTTAGCTAAACAAATGGCAAGAATTAACCAGAAACACTTAAATAAACATTTATAAGTAATTACAGAAATTATTTTAACGCAGAAAATGTCATCTTAATTTAGATTTGGTATTCAGAATATTCGTAAAAAGTAAATACAAAATATCATTTGAAATTTTTTTCACTTTGTCTAATATTTTTATAAAAATAATTTTTATTTATTTTATAGAATATAAAAAAGAGAAAATTTTAATTAGAATTTTTTCTATCTTAACAGATAATAACGCGTGCTACTAGGGGTCAGAATTAGGTCTACATAAACTAGGCAATTGCGTAGAGCGTGATTCGTAAATTGATTAAAAAATTTACGTATAAACAGAAAAAAATTAAAGTATATAGTAAATGTATATGAAAAAAGTGACGTTTGTTGTTTTTCTAATATGTCCTATGATAAATTTAACAAATATAATTACTTCTTTCTGGGAAGATCTTGGTCGGAAGTTATGTGTATTACCTTAAACCGCACTCGATTTTCCGAATTTCTTTAATATTTTCTTAAAAATTTAAGCTTCTAGTCCGAATTTTCAAAACGAAAGTTTGAATTTTGAAGTATTGTTCGAAAATTCGAACATCATTTCGAAAAATTTTGTTTATGACAAAGGAGTAATACTGTTTTAAGATCCAGCACATCGGTTACATTATAGAAAAGTTTCTATAGTATTTCCCAGACATTTTATAATGAATTATTTAAAAGTTTATTTCAAATGTAATGACAATTTTAAAGTTTAAAGTTGTAATGTCAAAGACATTTATAAAAAGTCTTTTTAAAATAAATTATACATTGACACATTAAATGTAAAATTTTATGTATGAAAGCTTCAATAAGATTTTATAAATTTTGTAAAGGAATATGCTACATTTCGAATAATGAAAGTATAAACAAGCTGAAATTTTACAAAACAAATATCTAATTTATTTATAGGTTGTTTTAATGTTCGGTTCGTAAAGCTTGACAAAATTCTAATTTTTCACTGAAAAAAATTAGAAAGTGGCTGAAGTGAGACTATTAAAACTGCTAGCGAGGAATAATTAGATCATATGAAAACTGAAGAAATTTGTCAATGGAAGCCAAATTGATAGCTGATACCAGCGTGTATTTAGAATAACTTCAGAAATAATTCTTTACAAATTTACGCATTATAAGCTGATTGGCAGAACAAATACAGTTAAACCCGGTTTATATGTTTCTTACTTGTAATTTTATAACGACTATATGTTAAATATTTATTGTAAGGTACTTTCTTCGTTATAAAACACTTCAGTTATATGTTTTCATTTAAACGATTTCTCACTTATAAGTCATATTTTTCGGTATTCTACAGCATTTTTTCTCTCTTGTACGATATCTTCTGGTTTCCTTCCAGAACAGATTGCCTTCAATGAGACAGAAGAACCAATTGTTTTGAAGACAGACATGTAAAATGGCCTGTATATCGTATACATTACTATAGTGTATTTATATCATGATTAAATTCTACATTTGGTTATCTTTATTGGGTTTCGGGTGGAGATCCTTTAAAACATCATTAAAATGTATTGTCATCGGAATTAGATACTGTATGTCCTCAAAATTTAGATTTCTATCTTAATTAGACGTGAATGAAGTTTGAGTTGCAAAATATGAGAACACGATACAATGCAAGTTAAATAAATGCGTTAAATGATAATAAATTTATTAAATCACCGCAACACAAGGACATATCATTTAAGAATAGTTTCATCATAAATCTACAAATTGAAAGATGAATATTCTGAAACTTCTCTCTGTAGATGCAGAAAATATATATGAGGCCACGAGCCATTTTCTGTGGTCTCGTGTGAATCTACAGAAAATAAGATAATATCTTATAAAATCACAAAGAATAATTTTTTAAAAGTTCCACTAAAACTCCAAAGTTCATAATCTAAAAAATCACTTTACTTTATGAATTCTCTAAAAAATCTTTTAGTTTAGAGAAAACGTTTTTCCCCTGCAACTTTTAAAACTATTTTACAATTAAATTAATTTAAAATTAAAATAGATTAAAACTCTTAATTCAACATATCTTCTTCATGCCATATCAGGTCATCCTGACGTCGGCGAACACCCGGCGCAGGTTAATTAGTGATTAGTGTTGCGCCAAGGAGAGTCTTGGGGACGTTAGTACTAGAGTGGTTCCTCATTGCCTGCTCTGGATATTGGTGTTACGTGAGAGAAATAATGCCTTCCGGGAGGTCTTTTAAGGGATACTGGCCCCTATTCAGGCTCGGAATACTCCGCGTGGCCAGCCCGTCCGAGCGCGGTGCGAACCCACGACCTCCCGGACCCAGTGTTTAGGGAACGAAACCGCTTGACCACTGGTGGGCCTAATTCAACATATATTTCCAAAAAAATTAATGAAATTATGTAAAACATATTTTATACTAGGAATTTAATATGCAAAATAATTTAATTTATTGATATCAATAAATTATTTTGTTAATTATTAAGTTATTATATTAATAATAACTTATAAAGTGTATGTTTTTGATTTTATTTAAAATACTTGACAATCAATTCGGCTCCCACTTTTACATTTTCTCCATTTACAATTAATAAAAATCTTAATTTTTCGAAGATTATTAATTCATATACTATATATTACTAATTAAAATTACAAATAATAGTATAATATATTCAAGATACGTGTGTACAGTTTTAATGCTATGAAATATAGGGAAATTAAACATCAATGTTCAGAATATTTACAATACGAATGGGAAAAAGGATCCATAAATAAAAATAATAATTAAATTTTTAATAAATTTGAATACTTTCGAAACTTCTCTTTCTTGAATTTCTCTAAATAGAGAAATACTTAAATGACAAATCTAATTATTACTTATCGTTTATAATTCATTGAAAACGATATATTGTAACTCGACGATTGTAGTTAGTTTTAGGGATTTTTCTTTTGTAATCTTAGGTGTCATTACAATGCATTTCTGTGTTTAGATGTTTGTTTTGTATTCTCATCTACTTGTGGAATGAATGGAAGCTTTGGAATCTTAATATTATCGTTGAACTAGTTGTTTTCTGACAGTTTTGCTGTCGCAGTTTCCAATTACCGCATTTGAAGGACAAGACGGAAGACGTATCTAGACTTTAAGGTATAGCTAAACTAGAAGATGTGCCTAATAAAAGATATGCCAACAGGAGGTCAACAGGATATACAAGTAGAATCAACAAGACAAAGAACTTTTTCAAGTTTAATAAGATAATTTCTTCTCGTTTAAATGTTAGATGAAGAACACTCCAGAGAACTAATTTACTAGCCACAGTAAGTGATTTGATTCTCACCAATTTTTTATTGTAGGAAAATGTCAGAGAACTGTAGACGATGGATCAGCAAAAAATTTGATATAATTTTCTTTGATTCTTATATTTTAGCATCCATCAAATATCTGTCGTGTCGAACAGAATTGTGTCTGTCAATATAACTACTATAGGAAATGTCTTTGATTTCTAACATCCTGCATAGTTACTAATAGCCATATTACCTCAAACGAACTTCTGTTAGCACCTATATTTCATTTTGCTCTCATTTTAGAAATGTCTTAAAGCAGAAATAAGATTTATTTTTATTCGTGTTACTTTGATATTTACTGATATTGATGATTGTTTAGTTCGTTTTCAAGACATCTTAACTTCTTAGTTACTTGTTGACGTCCTGTCAAAAATGACTTCGACAAAGTTTAGAAGAGATTTTATCAAAACCAATGCAAAATATAATATAAACTACATTAATTTTCTATCATCGCTTACATTTTAATCTGCTAAAGATATTTCTACCGGTTATATATTAATTAGCAATCTCAATTCGAATGTTTATTACTTATATCATATTTCAAATGTTTAATTTGATTTTAGCATTTTGTTAAGAAACTATACATTAAATTAATCAAGACTTGTGTTATTCCATAATTGACATAATATGTCAATTAGAGAATAACACATGATATATATTGTACGTTCCCGAAAGAAAAATCAGAAATTATTTATATATCTTATCTAAGTACAGTATATATAAAAGAGATAAATAAGATACTTATAATATATTATACGTATAAATTATATATTTTATCTTATCTGTGTATTTGTTTTACACTTTAAACCCTTAGAATTTTTAATCTTAATGAGAAATTCTAATGGGTTAAAGTATAAATTAAATACATAGCAATTGAGTTATTTAATTTTGAGGGAACAAAAGTAGTCCCAGAAGTACCCGACCTAACAAAGAAGACACAAAAAATTTGGTAAAACATATCTTTATTTTTCAACATAGTCTCCTTTTAGCTCGATACACTTTTTCCAGCAATGTACAATAGCTTCGATCCCCTATTTATAGTGAGAACTGTCGGGCTTCTCAAAATAGCCATCAACCGCAGACTCCACCTCTTCATTCTTGGCAAATCTTTTATCACCAAGCCATTTTTTTAAGTTTGGAAAGAGAAAATAATCCGAGGGGGCTAAATCTGGCGAATAGGGTGCGTGAGGAAGCAATTTGAACCTTAACTCATTGATTTTGGCCATCGCAATAACGGATGTGTGAACTGGTGCGTTGTCTTGATGAAACAACACTTTCTTTTTCGCCAAATGTGGCCGTTTTTTCTTGATTTCATCACTCAAGCGCTGCAATAAGTTCGCATAATACTTGCCGTTGATTGTTTTTCCTGGGCGCATCCCAAAAAACTGACGCCATGACCTTGCCAGCAGATGGAACTGTTTTCGCCTTCTTTGGAGCTGATTCTCCCCTTTCAGTCCATTGTTTCGACTGTTCTTTCGTCTCAGGTGTGAAGTGATGGACCCATGTTTCATCCATGGTTATGAATCGACGCAAAAACTCGGCTTTGTTGCTGCGAAACATTGCCAAAGACTCGATTGAAACATCCTCACGACGCTGTTTTTGTCCCATTGTGAGCAAACGCGGCACCCATCTTGCGCACAGCTTTCTCATGTCCAAATTTTCAGTTAAAATGCGATGTACAGCACTTTTTGAAATGCCTACCATGTCTGCTAGCTCTCGCACTTTGAGTTGACTGTCATCCAATACCATTTTGTGGATTTTTTCCACCATTTCTGGCATGGTCACCTCACTTGGTCGACCACTACGATGTTCGTCTTGGCAGCTCGTACGGCCTCGTTTAAACTCTGCCACTCAATATTTTATTGTTGTAAACTAGGGAACAGACTCCCCCAGAGTAGAATCTACCTCAGCTTTAATATTGGTTGGACTGAAACCTTTCAAATGAAAGTATTGTATAAAAAAAAAATACTATACAACGTAACGTCTTCAAACTTCAAACTTAAGCTTTATAAAGTTGATGCTTTCGAACACAGTCGTTTTTTTTTTCAAATAAGTACTGCCATCTATGTCAGGTCGGGTACTTTTGGGACGACCCTCGTATCTGTAAAATAATAATGATCAAATAAAATATACAAACTTTTACTATATATTATCATATTGTAAATAATTTTATAAAAATTATATAGTGTTCG